TGTCAGTTTGAGGATTAAAGAGTGAAGGGGTAGAGTCTAGCTTATCAGTCAGGATATAGCCAATGAGGCCTCTGTGTGGGCATGGCCTTCTCCTGAGGATTCTGGGAAACTCCAGTATTCCTCCATGGAGAGGGGAGACACACTCTTTCTTGGCTCACTCCCTGTGAGACATCCTGTGGAGAAGACACATGGAGAGAGGCTGTGCAGCCAGACCTCTGGAGCCAGAGAAGCCATATGGAGAGCCCTGCCAGCGCTGAGATGCTTACAGCGCCACTGGATCCACAATACTTCCCACCCACTGGCCTGTGATCTTCCTGCATTCAGCGTCATTGCATGTGCTTGTGAGTCGGAAGAGGACTTTGTAAATTGATATCGGACATATGGGCTAATATCAGACTTATGGACTTGATCTGGACTGGGCTGGGACGTTATCTCAATATTCAAGTGCTCTTGTATATAAAGCTCTTTCTTATACACATGTGAGTGTCTCTGAATTTGTTTCTCCAGTCTACCCAGACTAACACAGTCATTAAAAACACAGGAAAAAAGAAAATACCACAACGGTTGTTAGAAGAACCACTGTAACTTGCTCTTGAACATAGAATAGCTAAAGTGTACAGCAGAAATGATGAAGTAGAATATCTGAACAGAAAATTACAAAAAGCAGAGAAAACAAAGTGAAGCATTATATTAAAATTGTGAAGACCTAGAGTTAGAAAGCAAAAAAAGAAACAACACTGTTACCCATATTTCAAGCTCAAAGAACTGAAGAGAAAATTTAAGACTCGAGTTGCAATATCGAAGGGTTCTCTGGGGAAAACACTAAATGATGCAGGGAAACTCAAAAGGAGATAGAAGGACTGCAGTCACCGGACCAAAAAGAACTGGTTGGCATTCATCCGTTTCAAGAGGTACCCTGTGATCAAGAATGATGGTGTGAAGGAAGAAGTCTAAGCTGCCCTGAAGACAGTAGACAAAATCACGGCTCCAGGAATTGATGGAATGTCAATTGAAATGTTTCAGTCATCTGATGAAGCACCGGAAGGGTTTACTAGTCTATGCCAAGAAATTTAGAAGACCATCACTTAGCCAGCGGACTGGAAAAGATCCATATTTGTGCTGACTCCAAATAAAAGTTAACCATCAGAATGCAGAGATTATAAAATGACATCATTAAGATCGTATGCAAATAAAGGTTTGCTGAAGATAATTTTTAAATGACTACCGTAGTACTCCTATGAGAGCTTGCCATAATACAACCTGAATTCAGAGGACGACCTTGAACAAGGGGTATTGTTGCTGATGTCAGGTAACTCTGAAAACAGAGAATACAAGAAATACGTTTTTTTCTGTTTTATTGGCTTGCAGAGGCATTCAGCTGTGTAGGCTATAACAAACTATGGAGAACATTCAGAAGAATGGGAATTGTAGACCACTAGATTGTGTTCATGAAGAGGCAGCCAGTCATTCAGCGAGAACAAGGAAATAATGTGTAGTTTAAAATTAGGAGAAATATGCATCAGCATTATGTTCTTTCACCAATTTATTCAATCTTTATGCTGAGCAAATAAGCCAAGAACCTGGAGTTTATGAAGATCAATCAGTGCCATTAACAAGCTGGGATAATGTAGATGATACAGCCTTGCTTGCTGAAAGCAAAAAGGAATTGAGGTATTTACTGAGGAAGGTCAAACACCTTCAATATGGATTACAACTCAATGTAAAGAAAACAAAAATCTTCACAATTGGGTCAAGAAGCAACATCATAATAAGCGAAGAAAACACTGAAGTTGTCAAGAATTTCATTTTACTTGGATCTACAATCAACACTCATACATGCAGCAGTCAAGAAATCAAATGATGTCTTGCATTGGGCAAGGCTGCTGCATGAGAACTCTTTAAAATGTGACAGAGCAATGATGTCGCTTTGAGGACTAAGGTGTCCCTGACCCACCCCCTGGTATTTCCTAGCACTGCATATGCATGTGAAAACTGGACCGTGAGTGAGCCAGACGACCCAGGACTGAATGCGTTGCAGTTATGGGTTGGAGAGAACTAACACATTTGTCTGGAGGAAGTACAGCCAGGATGCTCCTTAGAAGCAAAGATAGAAAGATGATCCCATTTGGGGGCCTATTGTCAGGAGAGACCAGTCCTTGGGAAAGGACATTGTGTTTGGTAAAGCAGAAGG